GTGTGTGTGTGTGTGTGTGTGTGTGTGTGTGGCTAAGATCTATTTAAAGGAGCATCGAATGTGTCAACATTAAGCTAATTTCTGTGTTTTTTCTTGGTTGAACAGTGTGAAGAAGCTGTCAGAATATTTGACCAGCAGGTTAGCTAACACATGTTAGCCAGCTAACATGTGTTTGCCCATTTGCACATTTGCCCACTTACAAAGAATGCTTATTTTTCCTCATCAGATGGTTGTCAATTTTTATAAATTCATATGATGTGATTTTCTGGAATTTTCTTTGGGATTCTGTCTCTCACTGTTAGAATGTACATATGATTAAAGTTATAGATCGTTGCATTCTTTGTAAGTGGGCAAACCTGCAAAATCAGCAAGGGGTCAAATACTTATTTCCCCCACTGTAGTTAGCATGGTAGGGTTAGACTGTTAAGACTACACACACACTGTCACAGTTAATCCCACCCACTGGTTTTATACATTAGTTTTAACAGTTTTTATTTAATAGTCTTGACGCTGGTCTGTGGTTTTTTTATTAGTTTTTTTTTGTTTGTTTTTTCTCTTCGCAGGTGTTCCTGATTGTCTTTCCCAGGTGTCCAACATGGAGGCTGCAGCTCGTTAGGTTTTGTCATTTTTTTTGCTATATTTTCTTTGTATTTTGGCGTGTTTGACATCAGATGAAAATAAAATTTTCATTGGTGGGGTATTTCTAAAACTTCCTCTGTAAAGCTAATGTGTTTGGTACCATTCCATACGGATTTGGACCAGACATAAAAGATTTTTAAAAAGAAAGTTCTCCATGATGTTGGTGTAAATGAGCTCTGTCAATTCAAAAATTCAAGTCATCATCCACCAACACGCCCATTAAAAACAGGCAAACCAAAACAAAGAAATAAGTACTGAGAGACTTGATGAGATGTTTCTGTCACAGAACGCTTTTGTGAAATAGTTTAAGCTGATGTCAGCAGTTCATCCCCTGCTGGGGTTTGTTTCTTAATAGCTAATGTCATGTTCTGTCAACTTCTTCTTGTATAATTTTACGCAATCATTAGTCAAAGTTGCTGTTTTTGTTGTCTCCATATTCAGAGTTCGGTTAATTGTGTTTGTTCTCTCTTCCTGAATGGTTTTATTCTCTCTTTGGTGGCTCTGGTCCTTCTTGGATGATGTTAGTTTTGCTCCACCATTTTCCCCTAATGGGGAAAATCTCTCAGTCTGCTGTTCATTTCTCATATTTGCTTCCAACCTACTTCCCGTCTAGCATCATTTTCTGCTTTCATTCTATCATGGGCCCTGTTGGGTTTGGGTTTAGGGCTCATACATTACTAACATCACACAGGGCTGTATCCTGAAGTCAGTCCAGAACCTTCAAACACACACAGACCAGAACATCAAACAGTGGAGGCTGCCTCTGCTGTTCCACATGGAGGAGAATTCAGAGTAAAACAAACAAAGAGATGACTGTTCTCTGATGCTCTGAGCTTCTGGGTCCAAAGGTCAGTGTGCCACAAAAAAACGGCTCTGCTCACATTCTGAAGAATGGTTCTACAGCCTGGTTCGGCAAAAGGTTCTGCAGAGAACATGTGGCTTTACGTCCTGATTCATGTCTCTGTGATGTATGGATGTCATACAGTCCCCGGGGGAACCAGGACCAGAGGGTTCTGGGTTGGAGTCCCGGGGGAACCAGGACCAGAGGGTTCTGGGTTGGAGTCCCGGGGTTAATTTAGCTACTTTATAGCTACTTTAACCCTTAATAACAAAGACAGACAACAGTATTGACTGCTCTCCTACATAAACAGAAAATAAAACACTCGGCCACATCTCTCGAAAATCTTACAGTGAAATTTGATAAATAAACAGTAAGATACTGATAGTAATATGCTATTATACTCCCTTATTCTTCAACTAATGCACAAAAAGCACAGTAGGCCCAGTTCACCTGGCTACAGATCAGAATCAGAAATACTTTAATAATCCCAGAGGGAAATTATTATTTTTTTATTCATTATATAATATCTTATAATATATATGTATACATAATATATTATTATTTATTATTACATATTATTATATATTATTAATACAATTTATTTATTGATTATTATAATTATATGGGGCCTCACATGGACATAAATATGTGTATTTGTATGTATTTGTGACTCCGGCTGCCTCCGCAGCGCGGATGTGACGTCATTCAAGTGCGCCACTGTCACTTCCGGCTTCCTCTGTCACACGTGTGCTCGGCGTCCCAGAACCAGTCCAGAACCAGCGAACCCCCGGCTCGGAACCATGTTGGGAGAACTCGGTCTCATCGGGACGATCCAGGACGAGGACCAGAGTCCGGAGGAACCGGATTCAGAGTCCGACCAGGAGGTGAGTCCCGGTAACCCGGTAGGGGGATGTAAACAAGCCCACCGGAGCCGGTCCACGGCCCCCAGCCCCTGGTCAGATACCCGGTTGGGTTAGATACCCGGTTCGGTCAATACAACGGTTGGGTTGCAGCCCTGGTTAGGTCAGAGTCCCAGTTGGGTTAGATACCCTGTTGGGTTCGGTAAGACCCCAGTTGGGTCAGAACCCCGGTTCGGTTAGAGTGCCGGTCCGGTCGGAGCCCCGGTTGGGTCAGCACCCTGGTAGGGTCAGATCCCTTGTAGGGTGAGATACCCGGTTGGGTTCGGTAAGACCCCGGTTGGGTCGGAGCCCCGGTTGGGTCAGAGCCCCGGTTGGGTCGGAGCCCCGGTTGGGTCGGAGCCCCGGTTGGGTCCGAGCCCTGGTTGGGTTGGAACCCTGGTTCGATGAAGTTCAGTCCGGTCAGAACCTCCGTTGGGTCAGAACCCCCGTTGGGTCAGAGTCCTGGTTCGGTCAGATACCCGGTTGGGTCAGATACCCAGTTCGGTCAATACACCGATTGGGTTTGATCCCCGGTTCGACCCAGTTGGGTCCGGTCGGAGCCCCGGTCCGGTAAGAGCCCCGGTTCGGTTGGAGCCCCGGTTGGGTCGAATACCCGGTTGGGTCAGAGTCCCGGTTCGGTCAGATACCCGGTTTAGAAGAAGCTGGGTCAGAGTCCCGGTTCGGTCAGACCCCGGTTCGGTCGGATACCCGGTTGGGTTGGAATCACGGTTCGACCCGGTTGGGTCAGATACCCGGTTGGGTTAGATACCCGGTTCGGTTAGAAAACCGGTTCGGTCAATACAACAGTTGGGTTGCAGCCCTGGTTAGGTCAGAGTCCCGGTTGGGTTAGATACCCTGTCTGGTTCGGTAAGACCCCAGTTGGGTCACAAAGCCGGTTTGGTAAGACCCCGGTTGGATCAGATACCCGGTTGGGTCCGAGCCCCGGTTGGGTCAGAACCCGGGTTGGGTCAGAGTCCTGGTTGGGTCAGATACCCGGTCCAGTAAGAGTCCTGGTTCGGTCAGATACCCATTTGGGTTCGGTTCCCCGGTTGGGTCCGAGCCCCGGTTGGGTCAGATCCCCGGTTGGGTCAGATCCCCGGTTGGGTCAGATCCCCAGTTGGGTCCGAGCCCCGGTTGGGTCAGAACCCGGGTTGGGTTGGAACCCTGGTTCGATCTGGTTGAGTCCAGTCAGAACCCCGGTTAGGTCAGAGTCCTGGTTGGGTCAGATACCCGGTTGGGTCAGAGTCCTGGTTGGGTCAGAACCCCCGTTGGGTCCGGTAAGACCCCGGTTGGGTCAGATACCCGGTTGGGTCAGAACCCCAGTTGGGTCAGAACCCCCGTTCCACCCGGTTGGGTCGGATACCTGGATGGTTAGTTATCCAGTGACGTCAGCAATCAGGAGTTTAATTGGTTCGTCTTGTTTTCTTATTTCTACCTGCAGGCCACATTAAAACCCATAATCCAACAGTCACCCCGAATCTGCATCCCTGTTGTTTCTGCAAACTAGTTCTCATCTCAAGTCATAAAACCTTGGACTTAGACTTGTACTTTATTGATCCTTTGGGAAGACTCCCTCAGGAAATTAAGGTTACCAGCAGCTTACAGGGCAAAAAAGTAAAATTAAATTAAGCAAAAAAAAGGTAATAAAAAATACATAAAACACAACCTGTTTGTCCACCAGGGAGGAACTGTTCTGTGTTCTGAGTCTCTGTTCTGTGGGAGCTTTGTGCTCAGCAGGTCTCACCCGGGACTCTGGAGTCTGGTCCAAAGTTAGACTTTGAAATACTGAACAGATGTTTAACTTATCTTAACTTCTCTCTCTCATCCAAAATCAACTCCAGGGCCTCTGGGCAGAGAACCTGTTGGCCATCTTGGATCGGTTATAAGAAACAAAGCTGTTCCAGTGTGGTCCCGCCCCAAATTTTAGCAGATAGACAGAAAATTAGAGCAGACAAACAATGTGGGAACAGTTTCTTTTGTGTTTGTGCTCCTACAGTTCCTACACAAGGTTGTGAGTGTGTGTGTGTGTGTGTGGTACACAGAACATCAATTTCCACACTTCTTTTAGCCAGAACCAAAACTTAGGGTTTTGGTTCTAAGCGTGCAGAACCGGGTTCTGGGTCTGAGGCCGTGGTTCTGGTTTTCAGGAGCAGCCCATCGTGCTGAACAGGAGGAAGAAGCTGGGCGGCGGCTCCAGAGACTTCAACTGCGACTTTGAGTTCGGGGAGAGAGACGCGCCCGAGCTGGACGAGGACTGGGCCCTGGCCGACGTGCTGAAGCAGCTCAAGCAGAAGGTAGAACCCACCAGAACCCTAACCCTAACCCCAGAACCCTAACCCCAGAACCCTAACACCAGAACCAGAACCCTAACCCCTGAACCCTAACCCGAGACTGGACCAGGACTGGGCCCTGGCCGACGTGCCGAAGCAGCTCAAGCAGAAGGTAGAACCCTAACCCCAGAACCAGAACCCTAACCCTAACCCCAGAACCCTAACCCTAACCCCAGAACCTTAACCCCAGAACCCTAACACCAGAACCAGAACCCTAACCCCTGAACCCTAACCC